ATTGATAGCCCTCATAAATAATGCTGATAAATCAATAAGTAAAACTAGAACACCGCAATAGGAAAATTCATGAAGAACATGAGCCAGAAAATGACAAAAGTGAAAAAGCTAATATATCATTAAGCATATAAAAAGACTTACCATCTACTTAATAAGAAAAAAAAATAAAACAATAAAATTATTTTTAACTACCAGATAGGCAGATTGAAACAGTGATAATACTGATAACTTTGCAGAACATAAACAGGAAGCATCAAAAGTTATAAGAGGGCTTATGACAGAATAAATTGATGCTGTCCTTCTGGTGCATAATTTTTCAATCACAAAATTTCAATTTAGGGGTAATCTGGTAAGTGAAATGATGTAAGACATAGTTAAAACAGGTTTTCAAAGAGGGAAAGTTTAATAAACACTTGAATAGTTATCACCATGGGATTAATAAAATTTAGGGGAAGTATATTTAATGCAATATCGTGAAACCTTTAAAATTCATGCTATAGATAAATACTTATTACCATACTGTAAAAGTAGCGCTGATAAATGGTTAGATTAAAAGCACAAGTTTCAAATGGAGTATATATTTATGTGTTATGTGTGCATATATATATGTGTGTGTGGCTATATACATACAGAAATACACATATCTACCAATAATACTAAACATTTCCATAGGGAGTATGTTCTATTCTAAGTTATTTATACGGGTTGTCTCTAACAACACTTTCCCTCTGTGCCTATTTCCCTAGTCTCATCCTCATAACTAGAACTCTAAATCCATTATGTATACACACTGTGTGTGTGTGTGTGTGTGTGTGTGTGTGTGTGTTTCACTTTTGCTTCTATGTTGCAATTTTTTTCATTGGAAATTTAACAGCTTATTATTTTTACCTTAATTTTTAAAGAAATAAGTCATTATTACTCAATGGCCCTTGAAATATTGAGGCAATATGTCTAAATAACCTCTCGTTAGATGAATAGTTACATTCATTACTTCTTTCAATAGAAAATTGTTGAGTAATTATTATTTCCTAGAAATGACCATAAAGCTGTTTGCCAGGATAACCCAATTGTGGTTTGGAGATTTACTGATATATCACAATATGCAGGTTAAAGGCTATTGTTAGAATGTGTTACTAGTCACTTAATATTTATTAAGTGCTATCTAAACCAGTCATTCTAGATCTGGTCATTAAATTTCACTACCTTATAATAACTTTTTCATTCCATGGTATACTGTGAATCAACAAGGGGATACTATTCATTGTGGTCATTTGGAAACCCAGCCTGATGAAACAGCCACTAGGATACTCCCAGTCATTCTGCAGAGGGAAAGAAAATTCTGGAAGGTCTTGTGCTGGCAATTGCTTGAACTGGAAGTGACGTATCTACTTCAGTTCACAACTCACGGGCACAACTAGTTGGATGGTCTCACCCAACTTAGAAATACATTCGTATTACATGTCTCAAAGGTAGAAAGCTGGAAATAAGTACGGATGGTGTTAATAACTGCTACACTGCTACATTTGTTTTCAGAAACCTCTAAGGACAAAATGAACTATAAATTAAAACACGGTTATGCTCTCAAAATTTGTTTTTTTGATATGAACTCTTCAAGCATAAAAAATTACAAAATTGAAATCATAAACTAAGTTAGCTTGCTAAAATTCATAGGGTCAGACATGTGATATTTGAATACTTTACTCGCTAATAGAAATGTCCCAAAATGCAATAAAAGGCTTTGGGGGATAATGAGCCTTCTGTCAGAAGAAGTGTTTAAGTATAGACTACCTAATGAGACTGGTTGTAAAAGACAGTCGGCCACTGGACACATGGCTTATTTAGTATGTTCACTTACTATGTGCCGGACCCATATAGCTGTCTAAGATGACCTTTTGTCTCCTTTGAAAGCCTTAAATCCATAATTCTAGTCCATGGGTCTTGTGGAATAGTGGTAACTATTATGGAATGAGAGACAGTGAACCAAGTATGGGGAACATATATGACCATATTATTGCCCTTAAGAAATTTACAAACTGAGTAAGTAGAGAAGGTGTTGGGAGTAGCTCTAAATTCTGAAATAATTTCACTTTACACATGGAAGAAAATCCAAAACACCATCATGATTTGTTCCCTATAGGTATCCTACCTTCTTTACTACCCTTAACCCCATTACTTAGCTCCAGATACACTGGCCTACTAGCTTGGTATCAAATAGGTCAAGCATACTTCAAGTTCAGTGACTTTACATATGTATTTCCCTCCTCTTGGAAGGTTTTTTTTTCTCAGATATTCATATGGCTCACTTCCTTACCTTAGACCTCAAAGAGATCTTTTCTGACTCCCCTATTTAATATGCCACTACTATTGTTCTACTTTCAAAGCTTTAATTTTTTCCCTCATTGTATTTATCACTACCAACATTATGATATTTGCAGGTTGTTTTTCCCTAATGAGTAAAAACTCCAAGAGGAAAAGGACTAGAATATATACTAGGTATGTAAAGCATATTGATTAAATGAATACAAGCATTGCGTATTTCTTTTATACGCCCAAGTTTGCAATTGTATTGTGTATTCTAAGAGTTGAGTGAACAGCAATACTTAGAGGAGCAGCTACCCGTGACTCTAACACATTGTTGAGGGTTTTGAAGAAGGTCCTGCAATATAAACCCTGCTGCAGCACAGTTGTACATCATCTTCCTTCTCTTCCTGGGAATTATTTATCCCATCAACCTCATTGTAATAGAAGATCTATGTATAAAAGAATGGGTAATACAAGGTGGGATATGTTACCTTGTATTTCAAACACATGTTTTATTTTCCAAACTAATTTCAGTGATTGGGGAGATGGTACAAATATAAATATATAAGGCTCATTACAAACATGATGAATGGGATCCAAGAATCAGCCATTTATGCATCCTACAACAGGTATCGACAGGTACTCAGGAAGGTTTCCATAGAGTAAGTTCATCTTGAACAGAGCTTTTTAGGAGACTTAGATAAGAAAAGAATGAAAATACTTTAGGTGGGACAAGATTTTAATAAACGGTATTACTAAAGTCATGGAAATAAGCCTATGCTTAAGAGATGGATGAAGCAGATTTTAGGGTCTCTTAGCTGCTCTAAGAATTTTTATCGTCTAATAGTAAGATGAGGTAAAGAGGAAAACTATTACTTACTGATTAAGGGCAGAAAATGTATGGAGAAGGAATTGGTGAAAAGTGATGTAAAATATAACTAGGAAATAGACCTAGAGAAGGAACCAGAAATAGATGAGCAGCTGTGGACTCTTACCCCTGCTCCCACCTCAAATATAAGGGGTGTAGCCTGAGGGTTTTCTGTTCAAAACAACTTTGAGTGTGTATGTGTGCTGGGGAGAAAGGTTGGGGGTGTGGAAGGAGAGGAGGTAGGGGGAGAGAGCAAACAATGTTGAGGCTTAAAATGAAATTTCTATTTTTAAATTTTGGAAAATTTTGACTTATATAAAGTGTTCACAAATTTTTGAAGTAATATTAAATATGAGTATTTTAACAAATCTTGGGCATTCATAATTTGGGATGTAATGCCTAAGTTTAAATGAAATAATTGTTCTTCTCAATAAAATAAAGCGTAAGAATTATTGCAGAATTTTCACCATTCCATGAGAGGAAATTTTAATAGTGTACAAAAGTAGATTAAGATTTTTAGACAGCCTTTGGCTTGGAGAAACTTACTCTACTCACTGCCTGAGGACCAGTTGTGAAGACAATCTTATTTCTGTTGGAGAAAAACGTTAGGCCTTTGAAAAAAACAATATTCAAAGTCAGTATTTTGATTCTCTTTGAAGTTCTTAGTGATGTTTCTAAATGTTACGTTAAATACTAGAAAAATATTTTCATGGTCATATGTGTTATGGTCACAATCAATATGATAGCTTACTTTTTTTTAACAGTACAAAAATTTAGGCCAGGCACAGTGGTCATGCCTGTAATCCCAGCACTCTGGGAGGCCGAAGCAGGCGGATTACGAGTTCAGGAGTTCGAGACCAGCCTGATCAACATGGTGAAACCCCATTTCAAGTAAAAATACAAAAATTAGCCAGGTGTGGTGGCTTATGCCTGTAATCCCAGCTACTCAGGAGATTGAGGCAGGAGAATCTCTTGAACCCAGGAGGCTGAGGTTGCAGTGAACTGAGATCATGTCACTGCACTCCAGCCTGGGTGGCAGAGTGAGACTCTGTCTCAAAAAAAAAAAAAAAAATTTAGAGTGAAAGGAACATCAAAAATTCAGTGAACATTTCTTGTGTCAATTTCAGTCTTAGTATACTGTGAGAAGGGCATGAAAAAAACATGTTTAAAGTGATTAAAGTGGTCTTTTTCAACATGTTTTAAATGTTTTTCGCTTTGCCTATTGTAAGTTATATTTTATTATTTTCCTCAATCCTGCCCCCAGTAAACAAAATAGTATTTACATTTTCATAAAAGGCAGCTCCTCTTCCTTTTCATCACCCCCATCTTTAGAGATCTTTGACTTTCTACTTTCTCTCACTGCCTGACATTAGGATGCCTTCTGTTACATGTTTTTGAATTACATTTTAGTTCATAAGAATGTTTCCCCTAGATGTTAAGAACATTTGGACGTAGAATTTTTCGCCAATTTTGTTCATTCACTTAACAAGGACAAAAAAACAGAGCTGGGAGACAATTTCCATTAACTAAATGTTCTTTCCTAAATCTGAATTGCATATTGTGCAATCAGTCAATGTCAAGAACAAGCCAGTCTGTCTTTTAAAAAAACAAAAAAACCTCTTCGTTAGTATTTTCTATTGTTTTTCTAGTTTCTTTTTTTTCTTTTTTTTTTTTAACATGGCAAGTTGCAGTTTTATTTGCTTTACATTTCATCTTTGATAAAATAGGGTACCATGTAAAAATCAGTCTGTGTGGTGTTTCATTTGTAATTACCAGTGTTCACTAAAACAGGTTATGAGTTTATAATCAGGTTGTGCTCTGTGACTTACAGTGCAAAATGACCTCACACTGTAGCAACCAGCAGGGTACCCGGGCCATCGAGAATTTGCTTCTTACCCCTCCTCCAACATAAAAGATATGGAGTTTCTTTGAAAAGTAGACAAGAAAGCTCCATCTCCAACTTATGAGGCTTATTATTCTATCATCAGATGTGTGGTTTGTAACATAAAATGTATGTAAGCCAGTCTACACCTAATATTTTAATAGAGAGATGACCAGTTGAAACTTTAAATGCCTAACACTCTTCTCCTTGCTTTTTAGAAAACTCTCTATGTAGTTCTAATGGGCTCTTAAAATATGAGGTAACCACCAGAAATAGCTGCTTTAGTTATTTTTTATTTATTTATTTTTTTTTCTAGACGCCAGGGCCCTTTAATTGTATCACCTCACAGAGCAGGAATAGGAATCCTTTTTGGGTTTATCCTCAGGATTTTAATGTTTTCTTTTTTTTTTTTTCCTTTTTTTAAATTTATTACTTTAAGTTCTAGGGTACATGTGCATAACGTGCAGGTTTGTTACATATGTATACTTGTGCCATGTTGGTGTGCTGCACCCATCAACTCGTCAGCACCCATCAACTCGTCATTTACATCAGGTATAACTCCCAATGCAATCCCTCCCCCCTCCCCCCTCCCCATGATAGGCCCCGGTGTGTGATGTTCCCCTTCCCGAGTCCAAGTGATCTCATTGTTCAGTTCCCACCTATGAGTGAGAACATGCGGTGTTTGGTTTTCTGTTCTTGTGATAGTTTGCTGAGAATGATGGTTTCCAGCTGCATCCATGTCCCTACAAAGGACACAAACTCATCCTTTTTTATGGCTGCATAGTATTCCATGGTGTATATGTGCCACATTTTCTTCATCCAATCTGTCACTGGTGGACATTTGGGTTGATTCCAAGTCTTTGCTATTGTGAATAGTGCTGCAATAAACATACGTGTGCATGTGTCTTTATAGCAGCATAATTTATAATCCTTTGGGTATATACCCAGTAATGGGATGGCTGGGTCATATGGTACATCTAGTTCTAGATCCTTGAGGAATCGCCATACTGTTTTCCATAATGGTTGAACTAGTTTACAATCCCACCAACAGTGTAAAAGTGTTCCTATTTCTCCACATCCTCTCCAGCACCTGTTGTTTCCTGACTTTTTAATGATCGCCATTCTAACTGGTGTGAGATGGTATCTCATTGTGGTTTTGATTTGCATTTCTCTGATGGCCAGTGATGATGAGCATGTTTTCATGTGTCTGTTGGCTGTATGAATGTCTTCTTTTGAGAAATGTCTGTTCATATCCTTTGCCCACTTTTTGATGGGGTTGTTTGTTTTTTTCTTGTAAATTTGTTTGAGTTCTTTGTAGGTTCTGGATATTAGCCCTTTGTCAGATGAGTAGATTGCAAAAATTTTCCCCCATTCTGTAGGTTGCCTGTTCACTCTGATGGTAGTTTCTTTTGCTGTGCAGAAGCTCTTTAGTTTAATGAGATCCCATTTGTCAATTTTGGCTTTTGCTGCCATTGCTTTTGGTGTTTTAGACATGAAGTCTTTGCCCATGCCTATGTCCTGAATGGTACTACCTAGGTTTTCTTCTGGGGTTTTTATGGTATTAGGTCTAGTTTCTATTTTATTTGCTTCTGATCTTTATTCTTTTCTTCTATTAACTTCCCCTGTGGAGTAACTCCAACCATACCATATCATGAAGCAAAACATACAACTGTAGAAATACAAAAGGCTCAACTATAACACCGGACTAAACACTGGCTGATCTCCCCTAGCATACCTAGCAATATTACTCACTAAGATAATTAGGCACTGTCCTGTATTTTTGTAAGATTTATAACTTCTTAATTTTTCATTAGATGTTTTTTTCCAGTGACTTTGAGACTTATACTTTTTAGTGTGTTAGGTTTTCAGTGGTGATTTTATTGTTATACATGATCTCATAATACTTGTTTTTTCTTTTAGTACATTTGTTTTATGTTTCAATTTTTATATTTACATTGTTAACGTATCCAAATTACATGTTTAAAAATCTGTTTTATTTCCAAAGTTGTTAGGAGGGAGTCAAAGTTCCTAGTCATTTACTTACTAGAACTATTCATAGGAGTGACAAAGTGCGTACATTTATGTTGACCAGTCCCATTTTCTCTTCACAAAGGACAGAATGTGAAAAGCACAGATTCTTTTTTGGTCGTGGGGCAGGGAAAGATAATGTAACTCTGAGAGAATGAGGGGAGGAATAGAGAAAGAGTCAAGATTACATATTTGTGTTTATTCCTGTTGGGTACAATGTACTCATATTGGCCTAGACAGTTGCCCTTTGATTTTAAGAGATTAAAATATACTAAGCATGTAGGCATCTACACATACACAACACCACACACACACACACACACACACACACACACAGTTGCTAATCAGTCTGACTTTTATCTCTAATTCTGGTTCAGCTACTTACTAAATGTGTGACTTAAGGTATATTACTGCACATTTAGATCACTTTTGTCTATTTGGATATTTTAGTTGACATTTCACCTTACATAAAAAATGTGTTGAAAATTGTTAGCAAGAAACACCATAGGGCATCATCATCTGCTTTGCGATATAAAAAACATTTGTTAAAACTCTGTTCTTTTCTTCTGTAAGGACACTCAACAGATTTATCAAATAACCATTTTTAAGTGTATGATACAGTATTGTTAGAGACAACGTTGTATAGCAGATCTTTAGAATTTATTCATCTTGCATGATGAAAATTTTATGCCCATTAATTAGCATTTCCCGATTTTCTCCTCCTTTCAGCCTCTAAAAGCCACCACTCTAATCTCTGATTCTCTGAGTTTGGCAATTTTAGATACCTGGTGTGAGTAGAATCATGAAGTATTTGTATTTCTGTTTCTAGCTTTTCTCATTTAGAATATACTTTCAAGGTTCATCCAACTTGTCACATATTTCAAGTTTTCCTTCTTTTTAAAGACTCAATAAAATTCCATTGTATGTATTTACCACATTTTCTTTGTTCATTCATCTATCAGGCATTTACGTTGTTCCCACATTGTGACTATTTTTAATAGTGCTATAATGAACCCTGGAGTGCTAATATCTCTTTGAGATCCTGATATTTTGCTCTTTTTTATAAAATGGTGTAATAATAGTTATCTGCTCATATCATTATTCTAAAAATTCACTGAGCTGCTAAGTATAACTCTGATCACAAAATTAACATGTAGACATTATTTTTTAATCACACATGAAGGATTTTTATAGTAACTTTGTGTAAAGGTGGGTCTTGTAAGTTACTGGAATCTATTAATTTTAAGGGAGCATTCCAAATTTTAAGAGGTAGAAACAAAATTCCAGTGCCTGTGTAGTTTATTTCATTTCAATTTAAATTATGAGATTATTGAATAGTGTTCAAATTAGAAATATAGGAAGATAGTTTACAGGTCATCTTCTTAGGTCTTATATTTATTTTTGTTATGAAATTAATGCACATTCAGTGGAAATCTGCACATGTAAATATACTCTTAGTTTCTTTAAATAAATTATATCTCCAAATGATATAATACCATACAGACACTATGAAGTAAGATATAAAAGAATTTAATTGCATGGCACATTTTTTCAATACATTAAATGACTAAAAATGTAGCTAAGATAACGTCGTGCCTGGTTTTGAAAAAAGAAACTATTTGTGTGGTTATACATCTATATATGTACTTATAACAAAGGTTATATTCAGAATATTTTACACTAGACTTTTCAATTTTATAGGAGTTGAATTTCTTTGAATTTTCATTTGTTTTGTCAGTGAAATTACATATTTTAAAACATGCAAAAATAAATCATGTAATTTAAAATTTTTTAAAAACTCTTTTACATATATTTTAAAATTTCAGTAAATGAAAATCAGGAAAATGGTGACATGATCTTCCAAAGTCACAATTTAATAGAGAAAACTGAAGACAGGAAATAATATTCTAGTTACGGATAATGATTAACGCTGGCAGAACTGATAAATAGTACACTCTAAAATAAAATACTACATTAAAAAAATATAATCAGAGGACATCATACCTTAATACATATGTGATTTTTTTGTTTTTAAAAGACACTGGTTAACATTACTAATTACTGAAGGATGTAGAATGTTAACTGAGCTTGTAATGATAAGGCAGATAAATGAAACTGTATAACAATCATTACAGTTTATAAAACCCTAAGAAATTGTTAAATGTGCATAATAGCATCCATAATCCCACTAACATAATTTCCAAACATTTTTGTGTATACATATTGTATTCTTGGTGGCAAAGGATCCAGAATTTCAATCATAGTCTCAAAAGAATTCATTGCCCTCAAAATGGCAATGAAATTCTGACAAAATTAGGGTATGGTGAGACTCTGAGGACTTGGAAAGCCAGGCAAAATACTTCTTATTTCTGTACAGACAAGTAATTCCTTTATGCTATATTATCCATGTTGAAAATCTGGTATATTGGGAAGCAAGAAAGAGGATTCATGTTTCAACTACAAATTTTGTGTTCGTGGAAAGAGAAGAGCAAGTGCTACATAAGTTGAGCCCTTCCCAGAACAGGTAGTGAAAGGATTCTATTGCTCCAGCTGAAGAATGTGTAATGCTCCTATGTATAAGAGGGATTCTTCATGCTTTATAAAATATTTATATCCCTTTTACATGCTTTGTATTATTTTATGCCCCAGTGAACTTACTTGTGAGATAAAAGATGAAATTTTAATTCTGTCAACTGAAAACACACTTATCTATCTTGAATGATTTGACCAAAGTAGCATGGTTAGAAACTGATAGGTGTATGACTCAACCCAAGTTATCCAGTTTCTGGGATCTGAATCATTTTATTAGCCTAAGCTACTTCCTGAGTGTTGATCTTAGATAATGAACCAGTTACTCTTGGATAGTGTCTGTGATGGTGAATAATAACATAAAAATTGCTAACTATTATTGGACAATGATTATATAACAAACATTGCTGTTAACCCTTTCTTTGCATTAATTCAATGTTCATAACCCTATTAAAAAGATTCTGTTCTTATGT